GCTGCCACTGAAAGAAAGGGAATTCAAGGACACTCATACTTTCTAGGTCGCACAGAGTGCCAGGAGATGTTTCCTGTCTGTTCCTGGGAGATAATGTGGATTCCTGCTTGGAGCAGTAGGGTTGTGGTGCGGCAGGAGCTGGCGGGGCACGTTACAAACATTTACACTGAGAGCCCTTCGCTGTGGGTTTGCACGGGCCCTGCGGCGTGCGGAGGAAGGGGGAACAGGAGCTGAGGGCACTCGCTTTTGTTGGAAACCAGCTTTCCTTTGCAAGGTTTGAGTGCTTGGCTTCCAGAACAGAAGGGAAATACCGGAGCAAATCAGGCAGGAATCGGGTGAGGATGCTCGCCCTGTCCAGCTGCAGGCGAGCAGCTGGAGGAGGGCTGAGCCCGTCCCTGGGCTGGGTGGTGGTGTGAGCTGAGACATGGGTTTGGGAGAGCTCAGGCTGAGCCTCTCTGCGGGGGCCAGCCCCAGGGCCCCGGCCCCACCGGCCCTGTAAGCTCCCGAGCGCTTGAGCCAGAGCACAACTCAGCAGCTTCAGCAGAGTCGTATCAATCTCAGCTGATGGCAGCGGTTAGGATTTACAGCTCTCCCAAGTCACGGGTCAAGTACGTGTTGCAAAAAGGAGGACAAAAGCAGGCAGCGAGGCAGCGTGTTGAGTGAGGTCATCCTGAGACATGTCACCCCGTGAGCGCTGCGGACCGGGCGCAGGAGGCTGCGGCGGTGATTTATCTGTGAGCTGCGGCTGGGGCAGAACGCTGCCAAAAAAGAGCTGTGCTGCTGCCAGTTGGCTCCCCTTCGGACACAGCCCCCCCAAAATCCTCAGTGTGCGTGTGCACGTGTGTGTTCCGATGGCTGGATGTGGCTCTGGCCGGCCCGTCGGTGAGCATGGGCTGGTGGTGCCGGTACGGCTGCAGCATCTCTGCCGTTCGCCATCCTGCTCCTCCGCCCAGCGCACGGTGCCCGCAGACTGGAGACGCCCGTCCTGGCCGCGGCTGTGGGGCTTTTCGCAAGGGCAGAGGCGGGGAGAGGCTTTTTCCCCTGGCCGAGAGGTCCCCCCGGCAGCAGGGTGTTTTCTGTGGTGCCTCCACCGGCTGCGTCCCTGTTAAATCCCATTAGGCAGCTTGTGGAAGGGCTTTTTTCTGCATCTCTCTCATCTCACTGCTGACCAGAAAAGCTGTGGGATGTTAAAGGTTTTATTCTGGAGATTTCTGCTCGGCAGCTCTCCCAGCATAACTCGCCCAGGACTGCCCCTGCGACCAAAGGACGCAGCCGGAGGCCACCAGGACCAGGCTGGGGTTGTTGCAGAAATCTGAGAGTGGGAGCCAGCAGAAGGGTGACAGCGTTCCTGCTTTTAACCCGTCTTGTCCCCGTGAGCTGCTTGGTACGGAGACAAAGCCCGGGAAGGGCGAGCAGAGACGTCCCGTGGAGTTTGTGAGGTTGAAGCACCTCTCTGAGTTTAGGGGCTGCCGATGGTTCTGGACACAGTTGCCCACTCCTTGCCTTCTGTGGAAACTCTTGCCATCCCTTAGGTATTTCCCAACATCCCTAAGCCCTGAAAGAACAGGTATAATCCGGCACCTTTTTCCTAAGGGAGGCCATGGTTTGCCAGCTCTTTCTACCATCTCTTTTCAGCTTTCTGCCATCTGTTTTTAGTTTTCTGCCTGAGCAGCCCCGGACTCGGTCTCAGGGCAGGAGCCAAGGTTTGCCTTGTGCTGGACAGACAGAAGCCCGTCTCACCAGCCTCAGCGAGGGGCTTTGCCTGCGGTCTGCTGCTTCGAATGCCCAGGAGCTTGTGTCCTGCCTGCACCGGTGTTGCATCCCTCCATCCCTCCATCCCTCCATCCCTCCATCCCTCCATCCCATCCCAGGCATCCCTGCTTTGCAGCTGCCTGTCCCGGGTCATTCTGCAGCCCAGCTGAGCTCCGTAGGTCTGATCACACACATGCTGGATTGAGGCCGGGTGTCCAGCTCTGCTTTTCCCACCCGGGTGCACTGGGAGCACTGGTGCTGTTGGGCTCTGGGAGGGCATTGGTACCTCAGCAGAAGTGGGCTCTCGGCTTCCAGTTTTAGCGGTGGTTTCATTTACTTTCTCTTTTTTGGTGGCTCGAGCTTACCTTAGGGTGCCCTGTCACCTCCTGGCAGAGGATGCGCAGTGGTTCAGTTTGATTTTTGTCTCGAGCCAAGCCCTTGCCTGTGTCCGCAGGGGTGCAGCGGCAGATCGTGCACTGCGTGGAGAAGCTGGCTGGCATCGTGGAGGAGCGGTACTGCAACGCACTCACCCGCCCTGACGACCAGCAGAGGACATGCAGCGAGGAGCCCTGCCCGGCCAGGTCTGCTGGATTTCCCCTCGTTCCTTCTCGGCAAAGCTCTGATGCCCAAACTGCCCTGAGGGGGTGACCAGAGTTGGGGGGACCTGGGTGACGGCAATGCCCAGATTGCACCAGGACACGTGCAGCTCTCTGCACCCTGGGTTTGCACCTCTCCTCTCCCTCACACTGGAGAATGGGTCCCAGACCCTGCCTTGGTCCGTGGGAGCAAATCCCTGCGGTTGCCCGACCGCCGCCGCGCGTTGCTTGTCCGCAGACCGTGAGCCACACGGGAAGGCACCGTCCTGGCAGGGCCAGGAGCCCTCCTCTGCCTCCGCGCGAATAACCCTCCCTGGCCCAACACGGGGACTAATCCATCCCTGGCCCTCGGTCTGGGCGCTCCGACCTTGGCCTGAAACGCAAGCCACAGCTGGGATCCTGACTCCCCGGTGACCCCAGGCCCCGCTGATCGTTACGGGCGGCTGAAGCCCTCCTCCACCCGCCCCCCAGCACCCCTCGGTCGGCGGCGGCCCAACCCCCCCGCCCCGCAGCGCTCAGCATGGTGGGGCACGGTATGGCCCAGCGCGCGCCTGAGGCGTTTCCCCTTTCCCATTTCCCCAGGTGGTGGGTTGGCGAGTGGCAGAAATGCTCGGCTACCTGCGGCCCGTCGGGGCTGATGAGGAGGACGGTGCTCTGCATCCAGAGCGTGGGGCTGGACGAGCAGCGGGCCTTGCAGCAAGCAGACTGCCAGCACCTCCCCAAGCCGGACGCCGCCGCACCCTGTCACCAGGAGGTCCCCTGTCCCTCCCAGTGGACTGTGGGGAACTGGTCCGAGGTGAGAAAGAGCATCGGGGGTGTCCCAGGGTCTTGCAAAGCCGGCGGGAGCTGGGGACAGGGCGTTCCTGGACATCCTCAG